AGACTTTTTTGTTAGTAAAGAATCCTTCTTTTTTTCTAAATTTTTTCTATTCGAATCGAAGATACCCATCTTTGAGAAAAATAGACATTTAAGATTAATTTTGAAAAATAACGCCAATTTTACAAGTTTTTTAAATAATACTTATTTTATTATGAAAGTACGTGAAAAAAGCTTTCCAAAACACTACTTTTTTGTTCAAATCGGAATATTGTAAGACAAGTTATGTATCTTACAAAGTACATCTGATGGCCAACCATCCACTCCAAAGTGGACAAAATTCAAGCCCCTGTAACTTGGCAACCCGTTGCACTAGCTCAACAAAATTTTAACAGAAACTTTGTTGTTGGTAGGACTATTGATTATAAAAATTTTAAAGTGATTGGAAAACTTTCCTATTTTTAGGCTGGTTGAGTTCATGTGGAATGCCCCATATGGGACATTCCACGTCAACTCAGACAGACCTCCAGACAAAATTTGGCTTGATAGATTTAAACGTTCAAGGGCTTAAAAAATTTGTACATCTGTGTACTTTTAAATGCCGATGGACTTCTTTCAAAAATTTTAATATCGGCGCTATTATGGCTGATAAAAGTCAACAAATTCCAAAATTTAAAACTGACTTCGTACAATAAAACCATAGATATTTATATTACACTAGATCGCTAACTGGGCTCTAGTACATGATTCCTAAAAGTATGTACTAAACCCATGTCACGTATCCGTGACGTTAGCGCATTACTAGCAGCCGACGCATCTGGAGACAATAAAATACGAGAATGATTGCTACTTACCTATGAAATATTACCACTTGATTTTTTTTTCCACTTAAACGGCGGCAACTTTTAACACGATAATTGATAATGGCATTGTAAATTTTCCAAAATCACGCACAAACGAACGTTACACGTACGTATATCGCCCATGTGGCCTTACCGCGGCCATTACACAATAGTATATACCACGTGACCGTTTCATTCCGATGTCACGCTTCGTAATACATAAATTTTGGAATCAATTTTTATACGGTATATAGGGAAGTTAGCGATCTAGTGTTATATAAATATCTATGAATGAAACTCGAAAAATTCTTTAATTATTCTGAAATTATGTATCTAAAAGTTTTTTGGGTCGCCGAATGTAAATCTGATGTCAGTTTTCAAAAATTCAAAATGGCAAATCCAAAAATGGCGGACAAAGAGCCTCCGCAAAAAATGCCCGTTTTCAGTACCTCGATTTTTGAAACTTTTATTATGCCAAATAGTTACATATGATGACCCAATAATCCCTGTAAAATTTCAAGATAAGCATACAGCCCGTTTAGGAAATAGGTGGGAGGATTAAAGTTGACCATGTCCAATAAAAAAATATAGCAATTCCACATTTGAATTCGAACAATAACGTCTAAAAAATTCAGCCTAAATGGATCTTTTAAGATTTTTGGCTGATGATTATAAATATGAAATCATATTTACGAAATTCAAAATGGCGGATCCAATATGGCGGACAATTTTTGTTAAAATTCATTGGATCTACTCGAAACTTGTTACTCGGGGTTTTTGGGGTCG